GTCAAGCAGAAAGGCAGCATTCAGAAATGAGTGCGTTTCACCTCTCCAAGTATTTGCTCAACTTATTTATATATCTGCTTCCCTGGGCAAGTCACCATTCTGCCAGGGTTGGGGGAAGTTTTTAGCAAAAGTTGGAAGCATTCTAGCCATGTTGATTCACAAGCCACTTTGATGTCCTAATGAAAAGATCTCTTCCAAACTGCTGGAGTCACAATATTTCAACACACAGGTCAACATGAATTCACCTAAGTTGACTCCTTCCTTTGCTGGCTAAAATCTTACATACTAACAGGGTTTCAGGGCGTGTAATAATTTCCTGCTGTGGCTAAATTAACATTCCAGAACCCAATGGAAATTTTTTACTGCTCCTACAGTAACCTGCAGTTTCAGATAACTGCTGTTTACATAGAAGAGTGGTATTCAGATGGAGAGACCTACCACACTCGGGAGGTTTCTCAAAGCCTCCTCTACTTCTGGATAAATAGTTCTGGCTGCAGATGTGTGTGATCTGCTTGAGAACTTACACCGGATTTTAAAGATGTGCAGAGGATCCAGGTGGTTTTGAACAGGAAATTAGGATTGTGCAGGAAATGTGTGTGGCTTCTGAGCAGACTTCAACACAGCAAGCAGACTTTACAAATGGAGTTAGTGAGTCACGGGCAGAAACATTGCCTTTAAGCAAACAGGAAGGGGAGAACTCCGTAGGAGCCAAAATGACTCAGAGGGAAATGAAACAGGACTATATAAAACTCTGCTGTGAGAATTTGCTAGCAAACCACACTGTAACAACTGATGTGCACAGGGGTCAGTGGGGACAGCAGTAAAATTAATTTGCACGCAGTTTTCCCAGAAGATCATCCAAAGAGTTCCCCATCCACATTTTATCCATTTTGCAAAGCTCTGTAGCCCACACAAAATTGGTCTGAGTGTAATGTCCTCTCCATATTGTCATGCTAAGTGCAATAAGGATAGTGGAAAGAGACAGAAATTAAAGTATTGGATCTCACCTATCCTAGATCTCACCTATCATGTGTGGTTTGACTCTAATAAATAATTGCTAAATGATGCCTCAATAACAAGATGTTTGAGCTCTAAAATACACAACCTTGGATAAGATACTAAGAATGCATTGGGAATCTAGGAAGAGGAAGCCAGAGGAACTGGGAAATGGTGCAAATTCATGTTTGCACGGATAACGATAGCACTGTAGAAGCATGTGCTCAGGTGGTAAATTGTTTAAGCTCAACCTTGAACTATGACCATGTGTATATTATTGTGATTATACTAGAAAATCTGAAAGGTGAGTGCACAGTCTAAGTATGTAGAACTTAGCATCCAACAAATGTTCATACTGCCATTTTTGCCAGCCATTTTTGCTACTCACATAGAATAAAAATGACATTTACACAGAGTTTAGGAATATGGCACACACGGAGAGGGAGAGGCAGAAATGGAGTTTTAATGGGACTTTTCAGCCCCCTCCTGTTGCAGCCCCCTTAATAACACTTCTTTAAATCTCCAAACCAGTATTTGATGTGGCACATGGGGCTGCAGCTGGAAGGGAAAACCAGCCGCCCCCTGATGTATTCATGGAAAAATCAGACTCTTTGTAAATGCATAATTTCTTAAACAGCTTTGAAATGACTTAAGGGGAACGCTCTGAGGTTACAAGTAGTAAACACAGAGAAGAAGGTTTTGAGATATCAAGAGACAAGTGCAAGGGGACCTCAAGATTGTCTTACATCACAAACAGGGATATTCTTTTTCATCATATAATCCTGATGCTCTGAAATGAGAAGTCAGCATGTGTTTATTTGCAAACCGCTCAGCCTCTTGAAGATCCTGGCTAACATAAGAGCCCATTCTTTGGAATGCAGCATTTTCATTAATAGGTTTTGATATCCTCTGAGCATATGTGATATAGATTAAGGTAGTTTTACAAAAACAACGTGAAGTGGGTGAGAGGGATTTTTGGCTCTCCTGATGTTGCTGGTCTACAACTATCCATGACCATCGGCCATGCTGCGCAGGACTGGTGGTGTAGAGTGGATTGTCAGTGCCCAGGGTCGTACGTAGGGAGTGGGGGGGGGAGAGAGAATGGATGGAGTTTGCATGTGCATTAAACTGCCTAGCGGCATCCATGTCACCCAGGAGATCACAGCCACAGAGATAAGAAAAGAAGAGTCGTTCTATTGTGCAGAGAGGCCGCTTCCTGGTTCACATGGAGAAGACGTTTTCAGCGGAGCCCAGTGACAGAAGCATGCAGCTGTATTGAGGGAGCAGCAGGTGTCGAAATTTTGCACCCCTATTTTGCATCTGGGGCAACCGCCTCTGTGCTCTCTACGCTACGCCACTGCCCAGGCAGGGCTAATGGGATTTGGAGTCCAGCAACAACTGAAGGGACATTTTTGGCATACAGGATGTATTCTTGAATGAAGAATATGTTGATTTGCGGACTTGACTGTCACCTACTCAGGTCTATAGTTAGAGGGGTAAGAGGCAACGTGTGTCCCTGGAGATGCTGTGCTTTGGGGCAATTATTGTAAACCCTGTTTGAGCCAAGTTCTCATTTCAAGCCCAAATAAAGAGATGCAGGCAAGAACTGAATTTTGAGGTAGGACAAGTGAAACAGAAGAATAAAAGTATTAAGATTGGATGATGGGTGAATCATCCTACTTTGAGCAGGAGGTTGGGTTGAAATACCCCTAATTGTGATTCTATTCTTTCACGCCATTTTTGTAGCTACTTCTTGTTGTTGTTGTTGTCAGGTACTGCTATAAGCCTTGGTGGTGGGACACCGGGGCGGGGGGGGGGGCTGATTACTGTTGTAAAAGGGCAGAGGGAGCCCAGGCACTGAGAATCTGACAGGTCAACTGAAAGCTATGAGATTTTCCCTCCGCCCCCCCTTCTGGTCCTGCTTGCAGCCAAGGATGCAATGTCAATGAAGCTTTTAGTCTTGAGTGCTGTTACTAAATACCAGACTGGTCCATAATAAAGTATCAGCCACCTAGTTGGTTATCCTGAGGAGTGACCTGGGGTTACATATTCGGCACCTGGGTAGAGGCAGGTGGTATTAGCCTGCTTCGGTTATGTTTAACTTGGGTTCTTGGTTCAGCATTAGCACTCAATGGTTGGGAAAGTGTGGGTTCCATTTCCCCACCCTCTCCCCCAGTTCCTATCTAGCAGAGCTCACATTTAAAGCATTAGCCCCTGATATCAGACACATGGGATTGGAGGATTCTGGTTCATGTTTAAACCACCCCAGTGACTACTCCTGATAGAGATGGTCTTGGACCTGATGTTGAGAATACCCAAGCTTTTCTTTTCAGGGGTGGAGGTCTTCAACATTCATGCCAAGACCTCCTTACCAAGTGTAACTACCGTTAACAACCATGGAGCTGGCCAAGAAGGCCTGTGGTCCTATAAATGTGATGGGTCATATGCTCAATCTGGTATTCTCAGCCAGGTGAGGTGATGATTCCATGGAGAAATCACAACATGGTGGGGTTTAGAAGCATGGAGACCATAACACCTCCACAGGGATTGGAAACCAGTTAAGATGATCTGCCTGCAGAGACTGATGGATTCTTGGGACTCTTCCATTTTTGTAAACGTTACTCAGCTGGAGAACTGTGTTGCAAAATTTGGGAAAGTGTAAATTTCAATATGTAGCTGCATTTCTGTCTGCATATTGTTTCAGAAAATGCAAATGTGGTTAAGTTCGCCTTTAAATGTGAATTGTTTCCCTATTCCTATCACCAGCATATATGTGACATTTCACCATCCCAATAGTCAGTCCTGTTCCCTGAGTGCACTTATTTGCCGGAGCAGCAAATGTTAAAATAATTGCTTATGCAAAAGTCAAAGTGACTACCATCATGAAATCACAAGGGCTCATGTATCTTGTCTACTCAAAAGTCACAAATGGCAGATTGCTTCTAGGAATCTTGACAGGTCGACATGGGAATGTGTGTCCTGTTAATTCGTTTTGCACTGTGTCCAAACTGTGCAGCCAGCATTTCTCTCCTTTTTCATCCTGAACATGTGCAGAACTTCCCCTTTAGACGACAAAAACCTATGTAAATAGATCATCTGAAGTGTTTTGCACAACTGGGTGCAAATCTTTTGATCGGTGAAGATAGCCATCGGCTCCTGTTATCTGTAATCCGAACGGTTCACTCTCTGCATCCCTAAACAGGCATACACAATGCTGCCACTGCTAGCGGTAACTACCAGCCGTTTACTGCATGTGCAAATCCAGCAAGAGGAATGGCAAACACAGCATGGGGGATGAATGAAAGAATCCAACACAGGAAGCATGCTTTGCACACTGGGAAGTCTAGTTGGTGTCACGGTTGTAAAATATTTCCCATGCTTGGATTGGGGTGATTGCATTTAATTTATTTTTTAACTAGGATATAAATCTTGGAAACATTTTAAAAAAGAACTAAAATATGCAGTCACATTTTTGTGCTGAGATCCAGGGACAAGTCGTAGGATCCCAGTTGCACACATTCGTCAAGCTACCATATCCTAGAGACCACCTTTCCTTGTAGCAGCCCATCCCCCAGCTCTATACAGTGGTGCCCCGCAAGACGAATGCCTCGCAAGACGAAAAAACCGCAAGACGAAGAGACTCGCGGAACGGATTCTTTTCGTCTTGCGAGGCACCACTGTAGTATTATTCGAACAAGACCATGCCTCTCATTTTTATCAGTTCAGGAAATTTGAATTGTAGGCGCAGAAGCAGGGCCTTTACACTGATGGCCCCAGGACTTTGGGATGTTTCTCCCAGAGAACCTCCTTGCTTACATTTTGAAAAGACTATATAGCACCTACTGCAATTTCCAAAAAGCTTTCGGTTTCAGGAATTCTGTTGATTAATGTCAGTGGATTGGGTGGGTGCTGTTTTTATTATTTGTTTTTCAACATTCATTCTCGTAACCCACTTTAATAGTCCACACAGGATAAGAAGAAGAAAAAGAAAAAGAGACCACGGATGTTATAGTTACTCTTAGAGCTTGCATATTTATTGAACAAATCCTACTAAAAGAGCTAAAATACATTGGGTACTTGTAGTGCATTATTAAAGATCACACTGTTACAAAAGCCTACATTTTCAGCAGTACACAACTGCAACTATACATAAATGCCACAACTGCTGAATACTGATTCTTGCTATATGTATATACAGCACAATTGACGCTTATCTAGTCTACTAGAAAGAAAGCGCACGAGAATAGGGAAGGAGGAGGAGGAAGAGGAGGAGGAAGTGGAAAGAAAACTAAGAATTGCAGTGCATGCATTGGTATTTAACAGTCAGAAGCTAAACAGTTCAGGTCAAAACCTGCCCAGTTAAAGGAAGAGCTGAAAGACAGAGTTATATAAAAAAAATCAAGGTGGGCTTCCAGACTGTGTCTAACACAACAACATTCCATGAGGAGATGGTACAATTTTGTATTGTATTTTGTTTCCTAATACCCTGGGAGCAAGAACAAAAATGTAAAACCCACACATTGGAAAGACTGTGGAATTCTATTCATTGCTTTTTTAAGAGTTTGTCATTTTATACATTTAAAGGAACGATTATGTTTTTGGGGGGAGGGGGGAAACCAGCCAATTCTTATTGATTTTAAGAGGACATGTAAAAACATGCTAACCCTCCCTTTGGAAAAAAAAGCCTTCCTAGTAAATAAAAAAGACAAAAAACATTAAGAAGACCCCTAAAGACCGTATGAAAATTATTGCTATTCTTTATCCAAATGATATAAGCAGGATGGCAGAAAGGAACTCGTAGTAAATTACAGTTTTGTGATTGCTCCCACTTACCATTTCAAGTTTGTGAGCACACCCAGGTGGGAATCGGTTCCGCACTTACTGTATTAGTAATTACTCACCCTACAACACTGAATAAGAAAGCCACACTGAAGACACAAGGAAACAAGTCAGTCCAGTCTAAAGAACGAGAACGAAGTACCAACACCTTCTTAGAACATGGAAATTAAAAATAACTCCATCAGAGCTACCTTGCCAAGGAGCACGTTTAAAGTCCAAAATAGCACCATTCATCAGTGTCTCAAATCCCGTGGCAGCATCTCAGTCACTTACCACAAGGAAACCATGAGTTTCATACTACTTCTATACATCAAAAGAGTACATGGATAAAATATAGAGATATACAGACAATCGATGAAAATAAACTACTAGGCTTGTTACATCTAAAATGAAATAAAAGGGGGACTCTCAGCCTCTGCAAGAAGCAGTTCGGAATCATGGAAATGAAGAGGCAGCAAAGTTACCAGTTGCATGCGGTCTGTTGAGTTTTGATTAGTGGAAGACATTGTTGTGGTAGAACCAGGCCTGAAGGCCCACCTGTAAAGTTTGTAAACTTGGATTCACAGTGTGAAATTCTGAGAGCTTTGACTTGAGTCAGAATGGTTATAAACCGGTTTCATGATACGTATTTCCCCCCCACTGTAATTCTCTATAGAAAGGCTCAGAGTCCCGTAATTTTCTTCGTATGATTTACACAGAAACAATTCCCGATATATGACACCATGATGACCTCATCAACACCCATACATCATATTTAATACAAATGAGGAGTTATGATTAAAAAGAGGAGAGGTAATTTATTTTGGTGAAATGGTGTCCATAGCGATTTGCTGATGCCAGGAGCGGAGCTTCCACCTTGTCGTTCTTTTTGCGATTGACTTCCTTTGGGATGGGTAGGTTGTCCTACACAAGCAGGGTGGGAGGAGAGAAAAGAATTAGCTGCATTTCTACCATACCAATGTAAAACCTTTCCCCTTACATACATTTGGCTTGTTACAGACTTGGTTTAAACATTAAGGATACACAACTTCAAGTTCAAAGTATTAGGTGGAAGAATGTTGTTTAGGATATTGTTTTCCAAACATGGTGCAATCAACAAAACTATGATGAATGGAGAAAACATCACACACTACAATTCGCTTTCTAGAGTTCTGGGTCGGTGCAGAAGCCATGCCTTGGGAAATTTCCATCTTGGCTGAATACTATGTCAGTATGGTACACACAATTCCTCACAATTGTAGCACCAGGAATCCCAACATACAGAGATTGCCCTTTGGCTAGTGTAACAAAGTAGTAGAGCATTACACAGCTTTTTCTTTCCTACATCTTGGAAAGCAAAAGGGCAGTATTATTTATTAGTTGCATTTGTATCGCTTCCAAGGAGCTCGCAGCAAAGCACATGAGATTTCCTCAGTATAAAGTTTCAGACTTCTGGCCGGAAGTGAATAGCTACCATTTTCATAGTTAATGACTCTTCTTCTTTCTGCAGCACTGAAGAGTATGGCCTCATCAGTTGGATAGCTCCTTCCCAATAAAATTTCCAAGATCACAGGGGCCTTCTCCAGGTAAAAGAACAATACCTAACCCTAGCAAGCTGACATAGGAGCAGCTGTTATTTTCTGACCAAGAAAACAAGATAGATTGTTTGCACAAGGGTAGCACAGAGGGGAAGACTTCCTGTTCTTAATGTATCTGCAAACCTCCACAACAAGTGCATTCCTTATTCTGCATGTTTTGGATATGTTTGGACGCAGAGATGTGGTTGTGCACGGCTGATGCTTAAGGCAGTTAGACACCTGGTTGCGTGTTCTGCACACCAACTGCCAAGTGTAAGCAAGTGTGCAAAAAAGAAACAAGGTAAAATCTGATTGCATAAATTTACAGACCAGGTGAGGATCATATTAAGTGCGACCAATATACGTCTGAGGGAGATAACTTACTGATGATAGCATAAAGAAGATTGCTTTAAACCATCACTCAAAGGCACAGAACATTAATGCTAACAAGTTTGCCTGCCAATGAATTCATTTGGGTGTTAATCAGAGGCTCCATTTTTACTGGCACTTCTAATTTAGTGCACAGAAAATCCATTCGTGCTGCAAAAAATTGCCTAGTTATTGAAATGTACCTTTTTGCTGCCTGGCTTCTCCTGCCTTCTTAAATGGCTTGTTTCTTAGGCTCCTGGCACCCAGTAATGAACCCTTTTCCTGCAATAATTTACTGAAAGGCATATTTATTCTCTCAAAGTGGTAAGGAATGGTAGCAGGCCATGCTGCCAGAAGCTGTGCTTTACTATCTAGATTGTCTTGCTAATACTTTCTTTCCCACACTGTCACTTCTAATGTTTAGTTCTTAGTTCCTATAATATATTATAACAAGTGCTTAAGCCTGGCTCTAACTTTAAACCTATGTTTAGCCTGTTTACTATTTAATGTCAGCGAGATTTAAAGTAAAGTCCATTATTATGCATTATCTTGAGCAGAGACACTGCAGAAAGAGAGTCCTAACAATAAATTCCACAAAGTCCTCATCATTATAGGTGAAATCCAGCACACAGGTGGGACATAAATCTGATTTGTGTGTGCAGGATTGCAACCAAGATAGTTAAACGGGTGGGTTTTTTTGGGGGGGGGGTTTGCTTTTCTGTGGCTACGTGTAAATAGGCTAGACTCATTAGTCTTGAAAATTAGTTTATATTAATTCCAGTAAGTATTAAATGCTCACATTTCTTTCTTGAAATTCTGCATCAGAAATCAGTTTTCACACCTCTATATTAACCTTGTTTAGCTTCAGTTTTCTTATATATTTATAACATTTCTATACTGATAATATTCAAAATCCCCAAGTGATTCACATGACACACAATAAAACAATTTTTAAAAATGAATATCTATAAATACAACACTATAACAAAAAACACAAAATAACAAATGGGATTCTATAGGGGGTTGCCCTCCCATCTAAAACAGGTTGCTTCCCTCCATTCAGATCAGCCATACCACCTCCATTTTATCTGGTTTACGTTTCAACTTGCTTGCCCTTATCCAAACTTGTTTGCTCTCATTTTCTTTAACTCAGAAATGGCAAACTCTTGAATAACGGCAGCCTCCCGATCAGAATAAAATATTGGCTGCAGAATATTTTCCTAGCCTCTATGCCAAGCAAAAATGTGGAGGGGGGAGCCCACAACCCTATCTCATATATTCACGATTTTCCATATTCAGCATTTTTAGCTGTGCTAATAATTCTGCTACTCTACGGCCCTACCGCTGAGCCTGTTCAGGCAAAGCTATCTTGAAGCTGGAATCCAACTGCCGTACATTATTAATTCAAGCTGTCTCTGCAGTTGTACACACTCAAGAGAATACCCAGCAGCCCAATCCCATTTCATTGCGACACCAGCAAAGTGAGGTCATCAGCTGGAGCACAAACCAGCAGTGGCCTCTCTCTGTGTCAGGGGCTGGCAGAAGGCAGATTGGCACTGGGTGGAAACAGCAGTCATTCTGGGGCAGGGGTGGGCATATATAAAGCCCTTGAACTATTTACAATGAACGAAGGCAGGGGTGAGGAACTTGTGGTTCATTCAAACTCCACCTCCCATCAGCCCCAGCCAGCCTGGCCAATGGCAAGGGATGATGGGAGCTGTACTTAACATCTGGAGGACCACGGGTTCCCCTTCCCTGCAGTGAGTCTTCCACTTCACCCTGAGATCACGCACTCCTGCCCTGACGCCATGTGGCAACTCTCCAGCAGGCCATTTGTTCTAAGAAGAATTGGGAGGAGAAAGAATCTTGGCAGGCCAGACATGGCATATGGGCCCCATGTTGACTTTCCTGTTCCTTGTGGATAAAATGGAGGAGATGAAGGGGCTCATTTCCTAGTATTTTGCTGCCTTTAACCACATACTCTGTGGAGATTGTTTTCCCCCCCGCAGCGGTCCCCTACCTCCAGAAGTACTGATCTAATATTACCTCACGCCAGGAAGTGAACATGGCCAGGACGCCTGCATGGCAATCACAGTCAAAAATGCTAAGTCAAGAGAAATAACTTGCTCATCTCTTGCTATAAGGAAAACCCAACAATTAAGAAACTGTGGCTTTAGAAGCAGTACACATTGTATGTGCAATACAATTCTCTCTCTCTCTCTCTCTCACACACACACACACACAGAGAGAAAGAGAGAGAGAGAGAGAGCGCGCGCTAGGTTTTGTGCTATGATCCTGTCTACTCCTGAGCTGAGAACTCACAGACATATTTCAAATTTAAAATAATGTATGTGTTTATGTTAAAGCTCTGGTTTACAGTTCACGAGAATTTGGCCCAAGATCTTTAGAATTCAAAGCTCCTTTTGTTGCATTTTAGAGAACATTCCCTTAAATAAGTCAATTATTTCCTCGATTGTTTTTTTGCTTGTCGTTTGGTTTTATTCATGGCTTTTTTTTTTACTCTTAGAGGATATAGGAAGAAAACTAAAAAATTTAACATGCAAGCAACAGAGACAGACAGACAGACAGATGAAAGATCTGGGCAGGGTGCCAAAAGTATTGTGTTGTGCAGTTCCTTTTCAGCTGTAAAAACAATCTCGACCCTGAAATTCTGCCATACAGTCATAAGTTTAAATATATATATATATCCCATGTGACCATACTAGGATCTGCAAATACAGTCTCTCTGTTCCTTGCAAACCATTTCCACTTGTCTAGTCCATGAGAAAGAGAAAGGGCTTTTTTGTCTGCAATTCTGAATTCATGAATCTATTCTTTTTTATTGCTCCTTCATTATATAAGGCTGTTTTAGATTAGTAAGAGGAGTTCATAAAATTGGAAGACTGAGCCCTTTTCACTATTTGTCTGTTATGTTCCATTAGCTCTAATTGTATAAACCTAATTTAAGTTTGTGATTATAAAGGTTCTCTATTTCTATATAATATTCTAACGGTAATATTCAGAAAGACAAATTGCATTGATTTAAGTCTTTAATAGCATCCATAAGGTTGCAATCCTAAACAAACCTACTAAGAAGCAAGGGTCATTGGGCACGGTGGGACTTACTTCTGAGTAAACACGAATAGGGCTGCACTGCAAGCTTCTTCCTTGGTTAATAAAACTCTAGCCATGAACGAAAGAGTTGTATTATTGGAAGAGACAATTTCTGAAGTCTCCCTAGGTTTCAGAGGTGGCTCTTTACATTGGGGAGGGGAGATAAGAAACAAATTTTTGAGACTGCAACCCACAGGGCACTTTGCCAGCCCAAAGCATTCACCAGAGCCTTCACTATGGAAATAAATGAGCAAATTGATCCTCTTGAACTATTGCTGCAGTGGCATGCTGGCAATCCTCTATTCAGTTTTACTCCCTACAATGGAGACTCTCATCACACTGTGGGAGTTCAGAGGGCTCCTCTCCCTTGCCTGCACTTCCTGATGTCATAGAAGAGCCCATCATTCAAAAGAAGGTGGAGGGATGAGCAGAGAGGAGAATCACAAGGGGAATGGCATGGCCACAGAGGCAGCTAGCAGCTGGTTCTCCCCATCAGATGGTCCAAGAAGAAGGGAGAGACTGAGAACAAAGGATTTCTAAGCTATCTGGCCACCATAACCAAACATGACCACCCAGGCCCAGCAGTGTGTAGGGGGCAGGTTGGGCTGGTCTAGGGTCCTTCTGAGACCTAGGCCTTTGGCCAGTGCCTGACCTCCTGGATTCCACATGGTCAGAGAGGAAGCCAGAGGGGAAGGATCTGTGACCCTTCCCACCAGCCGAAGCCAAAAGGGTGCATGGATCAAGCTTTCCTCTCTACCTGATGGACGTATACTATAAGGGTAATAAAATGATATTCACAACCCTGGGAACAAGGCTTCCTGTCCCTAGACCATACTGCCTGTGCCTTACTGTAACACTACCATGTTGCACAGGGGAGGAAAGATCCAATGGATGGCACAGTGGCAGCAACAGACACTGGAATACAGTCGTACCTTGGATCCCGAATGCCTTGCAAGTCGAACGCCGCAAACCAGGAAGTGAGTGTTCTGGTTTGCAAACGTTCTTTGGTACCCGAACGTCTGGCGTGACTTTCGCAGCTTCTGATTGGCTGCAGGAGCTTCCATGTCATAATATAAAACCACTTCCATGTCATAATATAAAACAGCATGCAGCTCAGAAATTTCCTTCAATGAAATGCATAGAAAATGTGCTGTTGCCTGAATGACAGATTTGTTTGTGGGAATCTTCTTAGGACAGCTCTAGGACTATAACTGAAACTATTTTTCAGCTGTTCACTGTTTTGCTTACTTGCCAATTTTGCTGCCAAATTATCTGAGTCATCAGTAAAGAGGGATAAGAAAATAAGACCAGTATGTTTTGTGGCTTTGAGGAAACCATTTTTATCCTGTGCAAATTTCAGATCCAATTCTGGACATAATAAAACAAAAATAAGGCTGTTTAAACTTGTCAGGACAACTCAAGACACCTAAAGCCATTTTAACAATAGTATTACTATTTATCAACAATACAACCAAAAACTTGTATTTAATTCCACTGAAGGCTTCAAAGGTAGTGAAGATTTAGGTGCCAAATATGTCTTGCATGTAAATATGTGTAGCCACTGTCATATTTCGCCCCGTTTTCAATTCTTCAAAATGCTGTTGAAATTCTGTAACATGTGTTTGTGTGTAATTGATGTGTGGGAGTGTGTGCAGCTAGCCCCAAGACTCTATGCAAACACACAGTTCAAGCTTTAAAATGCCAACTGAGATATATTTTGAAAAGTACCTGAAGAAACCCTCCATGCTCATGGCTGATTGGAATGTGCTTCTGGCTTTCTGTGAACCTTGGATGATAAACCTACAGAAATATTAATACAATGAAACAAAAATTAATCATGAGGTTGCGGTCGTTTGCAGAATTGCAGTGCATAATTTGAAACAAAATGCAAGCAGGGTCCACATTGGTGCCCAGCGGTTCCACCAGCCTTCGGTTTCCCCGGAGTTTTTTAAAGCAAATTTCTAGTTCTTCTGACTAGCAAAAACTTGAAACAGGGTGTACAAGAGAAGCCACTAACTGGAGGTTTTGAGGAATCTCCCAGAAACACTATGCTATGGCCAAACTCATTTTTGTATGTTAAAGATCCCAAATTCAACCCCCTGGCATCTTCATGTAGGGCTTGGGTGAGGGACAGCCTCCATCTTCAGCCCTGGAAAGCCACCAATGGTTTAGTCTTCTCTTCTTTAGACAAGAAAGGCTCCCAGAGCAGCTTAGAAAAATAGCGAGCAGCATAGTCGTCACACTCAGCCTTACAATCTAAAAGAGACAATGCCCAAGGGGAGAAAACGGGATAAGGAATGAAGAAAAAGCAACGCCAGGTACCAGCTCTTAAAGTTATCAGCTTTGATGGACACAGATCAAGAAGTCTGATGGGATGATTGCCACCAAGTGACAGCCGAGGGAGAGCCAGAGGCAGCTGGTCTCTCAGCAGAAGCGATGCAATAGGCCTGCTTCCCTTCTCTCCCCCTCCTCTGTAAACTGATGTAGTAACTGCCACTGTGTGAAAAATAGTTGAATCTGAATTATTTTTTTAAGAATCAGTTTGTGGTTGTAGGGAAAGGACAAGTTTTAGTATAGTTTTTCAGGGAGTTTCTTTGCACAATTCCCAAGTTCCTCTTCATTGCTTTTTACCTGAAGACCACCACAGAAGCAATAGGATTAAGGATTTCTGAAATGTTGACCATCTGTCCACAGACTGCCTGCTTCTTCCAATCACTGCTTCTGGGGAATAATGCTATGACTGTGATAAGGATGATGCGGTATAAAGCACAAAGTCTGGGAGGGGAGAGGTAGGTGCCCAGGGCAAAGAGGGGAAGCCATTCTGTCACCACCTACTGGTCTGAATCGGTATAAAGCAGTTTTGTACGTTCTTCGGACATCCCTTAACCCAGAGTAGTGCTTTGCATCATCTTATCCACACACCATTTTGCTCACCTGGTTTTGAACTAAGCTGATACTGAAATAAGCCTGCTTTTAATACAGTTTGACTGTTGCATTCGAATGATCACTGTGCAGTTTATGTGACACCCGTAACTTAATTTGCCATGTACTCACAGAATCTGGCATCAGTGGAGCTTAATTTCAACTATGTGAGGGGGTGAACTCCCCAGGCAGCAAAGGGTCTTACTTCCTGCAATACCTGTTGGATGCTTGTATCTGATTATTTACAATTTTGACTACTCCAAATCAGAAATGAAACCTGTCTCCTCAAATGCCAAGTTATTGTCAGGCACACTGAGCTATCCTCAGAGAGGTGATGGCATGACTCTTTCTTCATTCTGCTCTTAAATCCTTCACAACCATCATTCCCACTCAGTTGGGTATTTATGCATAGCAGCCATGTCTGCTGTTTTTATTTCATTAATCTACAAAATTTTGCCTGCCAATCTTCGTTGTTGTCCATCACTATCGTGGCTGAATTTCTACCACTGGAAGAAAGCTAATGGTGTAAAAACCCTCACTTTTGAAACAGAAAAAAAGCAGAAATCCTGAAGATCCCAATCTATCTCCTTTTGTTTTGTTTCCGTACAGATACCACAAATTGTGAAGCTGCAACCCTTTGCACACTTACCTGAGGGTAATCCTCATTGAACTTGGTGGGGCATACTTCCTAATAAATATGCATAGGGTTTCACGGCATAGTAACTTAACATTTTTCCAAAGTCTCATATGAAAAAAGAAATGTGGCAAGAAATCAAATGAAAAATATAAGTGGAAGAACTGAGGGTTGGGTTTTTTTTAAACAACCTTTCTTTTTTAACAGGGCTGTGAATGATCCCGCCAAATCACACCCTTTACTTCACTGGAAGCCTACAAACACCAGATTAGAAAAAGAGAAAGTGTAATACGATGGTGTCTTTAGCAAAAGTAGAGGACCAGCTTCAAGTACCATCATTGCCAGAGAGAAAGGATCATGGATAGTTGGACTAGGAAATTATAATCATTATGTAATTTGTACCCCACCCGTCTGACTGGCTTGCCCCAGCCACTTTGGGCGGCTTCCAGGAAATATAAGAACACAATAAAACATCAAACATTAACAATATCCCTAAACAGGGCTGCCTTCAGTTGTCTTCTAAGAGTTGTGTAGTTCTTTATTTCCTTGACATCTGATAGGAGGGCGTTCCACAGGGCGGGCGCCACTACCGAGAAGACCCTCTGCCTGGTTCCCTGTAACTTCACTTCTCGCAGTGAGGGAAGAGCCAGAAGGCCGTCAGAGCTGGACCTCAGTGTTGAGGCTGAACGATGGTGGTAGAGATGCTTCTTCAGGTACACAGGGCCTCCATAACTCTTGCCAAACAGATTTGGCAGCTGCATCTGGGGTAGATTGAGTTTGACACAGCGATGCTTGAGGAGTTCATCTGGTTCATATTCTGAAGTGAAATGACCTGAACTGAATCTAATGTATGGATTGGAATGCGGCTAGCTATCTTTTGGATCCTGTCATTTTCTAAGATTCTGCCAGAGCACATAGTTGTGCCTACTGTGTGGCAGCAAAAGCAGCAAAGAAGGCCTACATCACTGCTTCCATCCTGTCCTCAAGAGCTCTTCAGGGTGGTCCATAGGCTGTTGACACCTATATTAGGAGCCTTGAACACCTCAGAGATGGTCTGTGAGTTGCTTTCTGGGCATTTTGAGGACAAAGTTGTTTGTCTCCTTAGTGATCTAGATGTCACGACTAATTCAGTCCAAAGTGAGGTTTCCAATGCTCCACCAACCCATCGGGAGCAGTCTTTAGAGCTTTTGGAGCAATATGTCATCAGTACCCCAATGATACCCAACTCCATTTGTCCGTAACATCTGAACTGAGAATACTTGAGAAGGCCCTGAACCAGTGTCTGGATGCAGCAATGGGATGGATGAGCGCTAATAGTGTTTGAATCCTGGCAAGACAGAACCTCTGTGGGTGAGTAGTTCCTGGGTCCAGGAAGGTGCTTTCCCTGGATGGAGATCATGCTCTCCCTGAAGGAGGTGTGCTGTTTGGAGGTGCTCCTGGATCTATCTCTGTCTATCTATCTCGGTAGTGGTGTCCTTGGTGGCTAGGAATGCTTTAACCAACTTTGGTTGATAAGGCAGCTACATACATTCCCGGATCAGGGTAGTTTGACCACAGATGTCCTTGTACTGGTAACCTCATAGCTGGATTGCGACAATACACTCTATGTGAGACTACCCTTGAGGCTGGTCCAGAGGCAGCAGCTGGTGCAGAATTTGGTGGCTAGGTTGTTTGTGGAGGCAAAGCCACCACAGAACACCCTGCTTGCAGGATTTAGCCTAGATGCCAATCTGCTACTGGGCCAAGTTCAATGTGTGAGAACTAACCTAAGGCCTTATACACCAGGTTATCTGAGAGACATGCCTTACATATCCCAGTAAATTGCTGTGGTCAAGCTTTTCCGGCAAGTTCCAATAATCACAGAAGCCCACTCTGCAGTTATTTGGAACAGGGCTTTTAGTGTGGCTGTTCTGTGAATAGCGTTCCTGTTGAGATACAGCACAGCTGAAGATATTTTTGTTCTGACAGCCTTCCCAGTTGGTCTTTTCCACAAGTGTCTCCTTGTTAGGATTTCAGGTATTTACTGTTTCATGTTTTTAAACTGTTTTTAATCATCTTATGTGTAGGCTGCCATGAGACAGTTGTTGAGGTGGTGATTTGTAAATCGATGATGATGATAATCTTGCCTTTGAAAATGTGCAGTGTTATGAGGTGGCCTTTAAACAAAATGGCAGCATTATTTTGAAAGTGTCTGGCTGTCACAGCATCAGGCAGGCTTTCCGGCCACTTGGGAAAAGCTGTTACTGGTAGAGTAAGATGGGAACTTTTTAAAAAAGCCAATATGTGGACCACCTCATAAAATTGCAAGTACAGATTTAATTTTTAAAAATCACATGGATTTTTTTTCAACTGCACATTAATATGAAATTAGAAATAAGAACATGTGAAAGTGGTGTGGTCCAGAAATAGACTGCTTTGTCCGCTCCTTGGAACTTTACGTAAATGTTGAGGCACAGAAATTTAAAAGCACAGTAGCTTAAATAATGGCACGGCTCAGAAGAAGGCATCCCCTTGTATCTTTCATTTGACATGCTTCTGTTAAGACACTGCATGTGGCTTAAATTCAGTTGTAAGGGTACTTCAATGCAATCAGAAGGAGTGGCGCAGCAACAATGGAAGGTGAGAAAGTTAAGAGGCTAGGAAGTGGAGATTTGGAAGCTAAGACTGGAAACAGAGAGGTATCTTATGGGTGGGACAACCACATACTGTCAGATTTTGAGGGAAACCTCCATTACTGATGCCATGGTAAACAGATAATGCAGACAGGGCCAAACTGTTTTACAAATCTTGCTTCCCTCTCTCCCAAATGTCAATTCACGTTAAAGCAAAACTGGGCAATATGTGAAGCGTGTTGAGGCATTTCATGTATCTGCTTTTTTAAAAACAAAATGAGCGGCAACCAGAAGGGAAGATCAGAACCAGGATTGTGCTGCCTCAGGTGGAAGTTAAGACTTTCACACAGCACCATGGCCATTGAGAAAATTCCCTACCTGAAGCTGCCATACATCTCAGGAGGAAGACCTCTAGAGCAGGGGTCTGCAACCTAAGGCCCATGGGCTGGTAGCAGCCCAGGAAGCTTGTCTAACTGGCCCACGGTGACCCCTGCCGCCGCCCGCTCTTACCAGTGCGGCACAGTGCAGTGCGGGTACTGACTTCCGGGTTGATGGCGCCTGTGCCCATGCACATGGGTGCTCCCCCCGATGTGCACTGGAAATAGCGTGTGCACATGCGTGTGGGACGTAGA